ATGCTAGCAAGCAGAGGCAGCAGCAGTGATCAGTGCCAGCAGAGATCAGTTGCAGAGGTATCACTCAACCAATCCTCCTTCTCAGGAGCAGGAATTAAACCCACCTGACTGCATCCCTGGATTTTAAGATGTTGGTGACCACGGACAACCAAGAGTGGGTGCAGCAGAGAGAAAAGGGAAGCAGCATGTTAAAGGGACATTCATCTGTCAGTCTTTCACACTGCAAGATGGGAAACTGAGGTAAGGAATTGCTATCCAAGATAGTGCGAGGTGGGCATTTACTTATTGTTTGCAAACTTATGAACCACTGTTGTGGTGTTTTGGCAAATTAATTCTGCATTCCGTCTCCTTTTTAATAAAAGTTTTCTTTTGTTAGATACAAATTCAGTGCTTGCAAGTGGGGAAGTATTATGTAATACTCACTTACACAAACACAGATTTATTAGGATGCAGCATGTACCAACTTCTGCACACATAGGCCGGAATGAATTTCCTGCTAACCCCCTATGTCAGATCAACAACATAATATACAAGACAACTTCACGCTAAGATAAAGATAGTGCACCATCTATTGGTGGAGGTGCTGTCTACACTAATCACTCCAACTCCCCCCCCTCCACTTAAAGAAGAATTTAAATAGTAACTCCTAAGAATCCAGGTAGTTTGCCATTTATGCAGGTTTCTGTGTTCATCTGCCCCCTTGAGTCCTATATTCTGTCATGGACATATTGCTTATAGTTGGATCTAGATATCTGTGAGTGCAGAGTTCATGGCCTCTAGGTCAGACCTGTCTCTTGTAGACAGACTGTTGAAGATGGCAGTAAGTTGAGATCCTGAGAACACCCTGGCAATTTCTCCTGCACAACCGGTCTCCCATGACAAGCCACAGGAGCCAGCCGGAGTACGTCCAAATCCTCCTCTGCATCCCTTTGGAATGATTGTTGAGTATCCAGAGTGTTTGCCCTCCCCTTTCTTTCAATGAATCAGAACACCAGTTCTTGATGCACTACAAATGGGTGAGGCTCTTGCTTTTTGTATTAGCAAAGATAAGTTGTTTAGTTGCTCCATCACTGTGTAAGGTCCCCTCCATTAAGAGGTCAGTTTGGGATTTTTTCTGGACTGTTTTTTCCAGTTGCATAGCCACATCTTCTTTCCTGAATGGGCCCATATTTTCCCATTTTTCTGGCATCTGGTACATGGCATGCTCACTTCTGGCCTATCTGTTCCACCACCTTCTGGAATTCTGTCCTCAGGTCACTGATGTAGTACTCTGCCATATCACCTACCTGTGCGGGTGCAGGGCTTTGCCAGTTCTTGATGCCTGAACATCAAGTCACAGGAAATCATGGGTTTGCAGAGTCCAAAATCTCATAAGGAGAGTGTAGCGAGGCGATGACTCACCGGTGCAGCGCCTCCTGCTGGTCGTCTTGGGAATTAGCTCTTCCAGCCCAGAGTGTCCTATGCAGGCCGGTGTCTCGCCTGCCACTGGCCCAGCGTCCCTCCTGGACCCCGGTGCCCCTTTTCCTCAGGGTTCTGCCCCAGCAGTACCCCCACTCTGGGTCTCCCCTCCCAAGGGAACCCCCCAACCCTTTAAACCCACCTTGCCTCAGTGGCTACTGCCAGTCGTCATCCAGCCCCCTTTCCCTGGGGCAGACTGCAGTCTGTAATGGCCACCCAACACTGGCAAGGGGGTAGGACCTGCTGCCTTTGCCTATCCCTGGGCTGCCCCTCTGCAACACCAGTATCTTTCTGGGCCTTTACCAAGGCCTGCAGCCTGGGCGTTTACCAGACTGGAGCTCCCCAGCACCACTCCACTTAGGGTACCTCGCTCTCAGGCAGCTAGCCCATCCCACCCCAGGGCTAGTGTGAGACTCTTCCAGCTTCTGGCCCTCAGTCCTCTTATAGGGCCAGCTGTGGCCTAATTGGGGCATGGCCCCAGCTGTGGCTGCTTCCCCCAATCAGCCTAGCTTTTCCCCAGCTGCAGCCCTCTCCAGGGCTGCTTTAACCCCTTCAGGGCCAGAGTGGGGTGACCACCCTGCTAGAGAGAATTATTTCATTATTTGTCCCCCGGAATCATTTGGTTTCCAGGTCCTGTAGATCCTCTGTACCAATAGGTACAGCGAGTAATGGATAACTGAATCACAGCTGATGTTGGTATGCCAAGACAACAAAAGGTGACTTTGCAACCCAATTTTGTTGGTCTTCAATGACTAAGACTTTAAGCAGAGAACCAATGATGTGGTTTACTCTCTCCACTTCCCCATTTTTCGCAGAATGAGCAACAGTAGTCCTCACCTTGGTTATCTGGAGATGTCGACAAACCTCGCGTAATAACTGTGATTCAGATTCCTTCCCCAATCAGTGTAGAAGCAGCTTAGTGGACCAAACTGCAACACTACATGTTTCATCAATGCATTCATAACCCTCCGAGTCCCTTTATACTTCTGGAATTGCACCACCACATACTTTGAAAAGGTGTGAGACACCACCGGCAAATCCTGATTTCCAGCTGGTGTTTCTGGTAGTGGGCCTTTCAAGTCAATCTGTATGAACTCCCAGAGCTAACTGTGTTGGAGCATTTCCCCTAAAGGAGCTCTACCTCTTCTTGCTGGCGTTTTCCTTTCTTGACAAGTAAGTACCTAATCCTTAACATCTGCAGCTATGCCTCACCAAAAAAATCTGTCAGATGCCCAGCTTTTCATAACTCATGTGCCTGCTACTTAGTCATTAGGAAGACACTCCTGTATCCTTCTCTGTAAGCTTGCTGGACAAATCCAGGTACCTTCAGATACCAGGAAGTTGGTAACCAGATCAATGGATAATTGGTCCAGGACTGCACTGAACCTCCCTAGTCTGAGTCATCTTTGATAGTTCTGTTGGCACACTGACTATATCAGGATCCTTAGACTGTTCATGCCAGATGACTAAGTTGAGTCTATTCTCACTGCCCTCACCTAGCTGAGGGCATCTGTAACCACATTTTGCTTTCCAGGTTTATGGTGAACTGTGAATGTATGTTCAGTTTGTGAATCCATCTCCACACTAGTTCTGCTTCAGAAGGAACCGCTGCAGGGCACTTAGGCTGTGTACACTGAATTCCATACCTATTAAATTGGGACAATAGGTCTAAGTTTAAGTATTTTCGGGTTCCATTTATTAAATGGTTTACGTATTATTGTGGGCCAGGTTCGCATGTAACCTCTCTTTAGGGCGGGAGATTGGATGTGAATCCTGGGAAATGTTATGAACTTCAAAGGACTATACTAAACAATGTCCCAGACAAGAATGGACTTTTGGGACAAACAGCGTCAAATGGTTTACCTGGGTAATCTGTACGGGAAGGTGAATGCAAATTCTCCATCTCTGGTTATGTAAAAATCCAGCCTTTTGAAGCTACACCCTGATGAGAGGACCACTGTCTGCCATAATAGTTCCTGGAGCATGAAGATCAAAAGCCCAAGCTGTATAAAGGAAAGACTGAACAATTCATGGGTGTGCTAGTTCTGACCTAAGGCTGTTGTGAACTTGTAACCACAGAAAAAACCCTTTGAGAGGTTTGAAGGACTGACGCCTATCAGAGGCCTTGTTGGAGTTGGGACAGACGCTGGCCTGTTTAGGCAATCTGGGTTGCTGGGACTATCACAGTGCAGGCAGGGAACCATGCTGCCTGGAAAAACACTCTGGTCAGAAAGAAGAAAGAGGGAAAGGTCTCCATCTAAGAGAGGTGAGCCAGGAGCCTAGAGTAGGTGCCCTTGATGGACCACAGAGGGGAATACAGGTGCAGTTGCCCTGAATTGTGACAAACACATCACCTGCTTTTGGGCTCCTGACTCTCCCCTTCTACACAGTTTTGCTTCCACTTCTCTGGGGGACTTAGCTTGTGCTTCTGTGTCCTGCCCTTACTTGCCCCCCACTCCTCAGAGAAGAAAGCAGGGAGGTAATGAGGGAAATGTCACATATGTAGCGACAAAAAACTTGGCACCTCTGGGGTGATCCCACTGAGGTCACACCATTGTCCATGCCTGCCCTTCTCCAAGACCTTGTAAGTTTCCAGAAGGAAATCAGCAACTACTATGTGGAATGACACTAAAAGGTTTCTTTCTCTATGGTTACCAATACCACAGAGACAGGAAAGGCAGCTGCTGCTCACGTGTACAGTAGCACTGCGCAGCCACACATCAGAAAGAAACTAATTGCTTCCTTCACAGTCTAACAAACCAGGAGAATAGAGTCCTGGCACCATGAGATATACACTGAATGTGGTTCTGACTGGCTCCAGGAGGACAGACAGCACCCAAGTTCAAAGAAGAGAATGGCCCTATCTTGTACATAAGGGAAACCAGTCTTTACTATATGTTGGTAGAATATATTTACTGAATTTAATTTTCTTCCTGCGGTATAATGATGAACATTTTCCTTTTTAATAATTTGGAGCAGGTCATGTGGTTATGACTACTGATATTAGGAAACCAACACATGTCATCTGACAAATCTAGTCTGAGGCCTGATTAAAAACTTTTTAAAAGAAACCTTTTACAACTTAGCTTCATGGATGCTACAGACAAAATAAATCCAGTGATACATTATGATGTGAAACACTAAGCAAAGATTACAAGGTTACAAGCCTTTTTCTTTTAACTGTTTACTTTGGCAGTTTAGGCAAGCTCTGTTTGCCATATGCACACTTTTTATTTCTACACAAAGCTGTTTTAAACAAACAACTATACTGAGAAAGAAGAGCTATAGAACAAGAGAGATTATTTTTTGTTAACTTTTTCAAAACAGCACTGAAGATACTGCTCTTGTCCAAAGAACAAATGCTTTTAAACTTGTTTCTGAAACAAATCCTTTTTGACCCAGAATGTCTGTTTTCCCCTTTATAAAGGCTTGGATTCTGATAGTAACCCTGAACATTGACTAATCTGACAAGCAAACATTGAAAGTTCTCAACTTTATCCATTTTCGCAAGATAAATAAAAATAAAAGTTCAAAATACTTACCTCATATACATTGAATTGTGATTGCCCTCTAGACAATTCCCTATAACTTGTTGTGAATTCTCCAATGAAATCATGGCTAGAAAAAAAAAAGTTTTCAAATCAACACATACACAATATAAACTACTTTTCCATTAATTTACAAAAATACATCTAAAGTGAAGCACAGCTGACACATGAATAGACATGTGAGAAAAGCAATGCTAGCAAAAGACTTGTTATTCTGTTGACTTAAATATAATGTATGTTCATTACTCTTCCCCCCTAAATTATAATTATAAATAGATTTGATTGAATCCATCTGATAGCTTATGTTAACTGTACCCAACACAGAATGAAGAACTAGATTGCAAATTTACAACCAGCACCGAATAAAGACTGTGGACCGTGAACAGAACCCGAAAGGAACTGCCAACAGTCCTCCATTCCCTCTCTGGCTCCCCACTTGCACCATGACAGAGTGCGAGCGTGTGTTTGAGAGAGAAGAGTGGTGAGTCGGAAGGGGAAGGAAGTAATCTGTAATTGGGAAAGTCCTAAACTATGCTGATTCGTGCACTAGAGGGGAAGAGCCAAGGCTCTACTCACTCCTTTTACCTGTCCACCTACCTGCTTGGGAGGGGAAATAGTGGCTCTGCAGCTACTGCTCACCCCCGTGTGCTAGAATCCATTGATCACATAAGTTCATACAGCAGATTAAGGGAATTCTTTGTGGGGGGACAGACCTCAATATTGATGCAAAAATTATATTAATAAAATTATTATAACCAACTTTTAAAAAGTTTTTACAAACTTGTTTTCACCTTTATTGAACATGACTACAAAAATGTTATAGCCAAAATGCTTGAAAATATGACAAATCACACGTTTAGCTAATTATGTTACAAAATGTTAAAGTTAATAAAAACATTCCAAAAGGTTTCTGCTTCTAGCTCTCAAGGACAAGCGAACAAATCATGTAGCACCTTTAGGAAGGAACCTGATAGTAAGAGTTGCGTTATCAAAGCAATAAATCTAGAGGTAAAGTTGGCCTATAATACCCATCCCCTTCTTTTCTTTTAAAAGAAACACTTGAGTTTAAATCCACACAAAAAGTTCCAAAATTATCCTTATTTCAATAAAATGTATTTGTAAAGCATATTGGAAAATATTTATGGTGGAAAATGTTTTACAAAATATATTGTTGACTTCCAACTCACATTTCCACTTAAATCTTTGGTGTTTGTTTCTCAAATGTTTAAGATGGCATAAGCTTATTTTAACATTTTATATTTGGAAATATTTTGTATCTAAATGCAAGCCTTCATATAAGAACTGCCTAATATCTTTGTTATATGAGTAGTAAAATATTTTATGTACAAATATAGCAAGACTATATAATGCTAGATTAAATTACTAAATATGTAACACCATTTAAGTACAAAATATTTCAATTAATGGAAAAAAAAAATTAATTACTGGCAACACACAAGTAAAACCTCACCCAATGCGAAAATACAAGAAAATCTTCATTTCAAAAATCATCATGTAAAGTTAATAACTTAGGCCAAAGACTTTCCAAGAGTTATTTAATTTTAATAACTACTTTAAGAACCAAAAACTTATATAAGGAATAGAAGTTTGAACTTTTTCAAAACAAAATTTCATTTTCTGTCAAAGTAAACAAATTTTTAAAAATCTCAGAAAATATAACAGTTAAAACTAACTTTATAAGTTATCTAAATCTTTTCTGTCACCAAAAAAAGCAATTAAAATGTTGCATATTCATTAACCAAACAGCATATTCAGAAGCTAAAAAAGTGTCAACTAGCCAATAAAAGCATAAAACCATTAAAAAAAAGTAACAGCAGCCAACTTGAATCTAAGCATTAGATCTCTTCATGTTCGGCATGGAGTCTAGTATTGGGAGTGGTTTCCTGCTGTACTTGGTGACGTGAATCTCTACATCTACTGGAGGAAGGAGAGCAGGAAAGGTGCACAACATATCTTTTCTTTTGAAACAAGTTCAAATGGAGAGTTCTGCCCACGCTCTACAGGTTGACCATGCCCAGCAGAATTACTATAGCCCCAGGGCTTACAATAATTCTTGGGTAAACAAACTTGCAGCTCCTGTTTGGAATTATTATTAGAGAGTAGCTTCCATATTGCAAAGTCCAAGCACCTATCATACCTTTAGTGAGCACTGGAAATTATGCAAAGATAGGGCCTTTTCTACAATAATCTAAAAAGAATATTAGTTGAAACAAGGAAGTAATTATGTGGAACTGTACTCCTTTCTTAATACACATATTTTAGGATATAGATATTCAGGCCTGTCTGTAAAGGCCTATACTCTAAGAATTTAGGTGTATTCTTATCACTTTGCTAATTATAGAGGTATAAAAGAAAGAATCAAAATCACTGTCTGCTGGTGTAAGGGCCTTCTCTTACTGTGACAATCTGAGGCCCTGTTCTTAGGCTAAGGCCTTTGGCTAAGCAGCAGAGGCAGCCATAAGCTGGGAAGCGAACAGTCACATCCTCACATTCCAAACTAGTCACACTGAAATAAGGTGCTATTCGGCTGTTAGGAATACAATCCTGTCCTGATAGTTCCTATCACCTCCAGAGACAGGGAAGTGCCTAGAAAATGTACAAGGAAACTTAGTTTGATAGCATCCTGTCTGGCAAGAACTCACTTATCAATAGCTGGGATGTGAAATCCTCACTTCTGTATTGTTTTGTCATTATAGTTCCCACTTTGCTATTGTTTGTCTGTATAATCTCTGTCTGGTTCTGTGATTGTTCCTGTCTGCTGTATAATTAATTTTGCTGGGTGTAAACTAATTAAGGTGGTGGGATATAATTGGTTACATAATCATGTTACAATATGTTAGGATTGGTTAGTTAAATTTCAGGAAAATGATTGGTTAAGGTATAGCTAAGCGGAACTCAAGTTTTACTATATAATCTGTAGTCAATGAGGAAGTGAGGGGGTGTGGGCGTGGGCATGGGCATGTGGGTAAGGGAGATGGGAACAGGGAATGGGGGTAAGGAAGTTGGAATCATGTTTTGCTAAAGGGGGAAATGGGAACAGGGAATGGGAGTAAGGAAGTTGGAATCATGTTTGGCTAAGGGTAGGAATGGGAACAGGGACACAGGTGTAAGGCTCTGTGGTGTCAGAGTTGGGAAGGAGGATACTAAGGAAGGAAACTGGAATCATGCTTGCTGGAAGTTCACCCCAATAAACATCGAATTGTTTGCACCTTTGGACTTCGGGTATTGTTGCTCTCTGTTCATGCGAGAAGGACCAGGGAAGTAAGTGGGTGAAGGAATAAGCCCCCTAACAACATACATAATAGCTATTGACATTATATGCATATCTAATTCTCATTGAAGAACAATTAACCCCTAAAATTTATTTTAAAATGCACAAAATTTTCACAAACCAACTTTAGTGATTGTAATACAGAAGTATCTTACCTTCCATCTCTTTCCCAATCATACACCTCTATTTTAATCGTTCTGCAAAAGAAAAATATATATATATATTTTTAAAATGCAAGTTTTCACTAAACACCATGCTTAATTTTTGAAAAAATATGCTAATGAAAATGCACTCTGTTCTGAAAGATTAATTTTTCATTAAAAGCAGAAAGGTCAGACAGTTTGGCTGTTTGCTCAGTTTAAGCAGAAAATACTTGCTTGAGCTATTCAGTTATGATTTCCCATTATTTAACATTTTTAGCCATCCAGCACCCTACAAAAAACATTTCATACCAGCTAAGATTTAATACTAAATTTTAGTATTTTAGTCCAAGTAATTTTCTTCAAATAAAAAAAAAAGTTAATGAAAATAAATACAATTAAAATTTCATTAAAGACAAAATTGTTCTCTTTACATGGGATTTATGGGATCATTTCCACAGAATATGTCTGGGATTCAAGCACAAAACTGGTTAACAAATTACAAGATTTAGGAGTGTACATTCCTTTCTAATACCATCTCTCACACATTGATAATGCAGAAAGTTCAACAGTGGAGTGCTCCAGAGTTCCGGCTAGGATTGGTGTTATTTAATGTCTGTTAATGATTCGGAAAAGGGCATGGACAGTAGGCAGGCAAGATTTGCCAAAAAGAAAAAAAGTTATTTAGGTTAGTCAAAAACTAGAGAAGACCGAGGAACTTCAGAGGGACAATGCACATGGGAAGTAATCATACGAACTACCCTACACATATCTTGGTTCTTAATTAAAAGTAACTAACTACTCAGAAAAAAGACCTGTCGTTGGGGACAGCTCAATGAAAGCCTCAGCTAAACACACTGTAATGGTCAAAATGGCAAACTTGCCCCATATACCTGCCACCTCAGAGGTGGGGAGACTGACTGTGCCAGCAGAGGAAAGAAAACCCTTGCCCCTTTAAGGAGCACATCCCTCCCCCACCATGGCCTTGAGGATGGGGGGGGCTCTTTGACTGATTAAGCAAGAAGAGGAGGAAGCGGCATAATCCTACTGGCACTTACACACTCAAGCGGCAGGTTTATAAACACTTTCCCTTGTCCAAACTGCTATTCTGCACCCAGGACCAACAAATCCCTTCTCTTTGGGACTAGAGTAGGACCAGGTTTGCCCTTTGGTAGCTGGGATAGAATTACCAAGTTGGCATAGGTGCTATGGGTATTTTCACCTTCTTTTCAGTGGCTCAGTGACCAGGTGGATAGATTAGATTGTAAAACTCATGTTGTCAAAACATAGCAGGTACCCAGTGCAGCTGCTTGTACAATAGGGGTCTGGTTCTCTGATAAACAGGAACGGAAGCAGATTAGAAGAAGGCATCTCCTAAAGAAGATGGGGAATGGAGTTTTGGCTTCTAAATCTGGTGCAGTGAGGAGACAAATCTTCTTTCTCATACCATCGTCTTTCATGTGAGGAGAGGGCACTGGGATCCCAGCTGGAGGGCTAAGCGCCCTGAAAATGGGGGCTGGAAGGACAGAAGGGGAGAAGAGTGAGAACTTAGCGAGTTGGGGGGCAGCCAGCTCCAGGCTGGGAAGGAGGGCCCCAGGGGTTCCTACCAGCTCTCAGGCCCATTCAAGCCCCTCCTGGTTCCACTCCCTGGCCTGATCCTGGGCCCTGTAGCAGCCACTTCAGCCCACCTGGGTGTTGCTCTCACCTCCAAGCTGATGCCCCCACAGAGTGTGAGTTTATTTCCATTGCAGGGATGCCCCCCTCTTCTGTTGACACTGGTCCCGGGAACAGTGTGGGGACCAAGTTAAAGGTGTGTGGGGAGGGTGAAGAAAGCCCCCATCCCTCAAGTCTGACAGTGGATGAGTTATAACCAGACGGTTTCCCAGATGTGTTACTTAATAAAGTTACAGCCTAGTTAAACCATGTTCTTGGTATCTTGCCTTTTTTTCCTGTGGTGTCTGGGACAACATTAGGATGCATATATGGAACATAAACATGATGCCATTATAACAAATGAACAGAATGCCCACACCAGGATTACCATGTTCAGAACTGGTCACTGCATCCCAAAAAAGTTATAACAGAAACAGACAGGACTTAGAGTCAGGTGACAAAAGTAACTGGAGACCTGGAAAGATTTTCATGAGAGAAACTGAAAAACTGAGAATATGACAGAAGCCCCCCAAAATGAATGGCATGCAGAAGGTAAACCGAATGTTCCATTTACCATTTCTTATAATTAAGGCTAAGAGTCTGTCACACATATTTCTAGTAAAAGTCACGGACAGTTTACGGGCAATAAAGAAAAATTCACGAAAGCCCGTGACCTATCCATGACTTTTACTAAAAATATGCATGACAAAATGGCGAGCTGCAGACTCCTCATGTCAACCAGTGGGGGCTGGCTTGGAGGTGCATGGTCCCCCATCACTCCGCTGCCTCGGAGCTCCGGGCACCCCTGACTCCGCCCCGGCTAGGAGCTGCCTGCGAGGGAACCCGTCTCCCTCTGCGGCTGGGAGCTCAGGCCCCCGCAGTTCCCAGCCACCAGGGGTGGCGGGGAACCCTACAGCTCCCAGGCGCTGGGGGCTCAAGTCACGGAGGTCTCTGGAAGTAAAGGAGTCCGTGACTGCCATGACCTCCATGACAAAATCATAGCCCTACTTATAATACAAGGACCAGGAGACATTCAGTGTAATTGAAAAGGTTAGCAAATTTAAACCAAGAGGAAAAACTTCTTTATACAACACATAATTAAATTGTGGACTTATTGCCACCAGATATTATTACGGCTGAGACCTTTCTAAGACTAAAACTAGAATTGGACATTTACATGGATAATGGCTATATCCATGAATGTTAGAATAAAAAAAAAAATAAGGATCTACAACTATCCACTAATTGACAATATTAGGAAGAAACTCCTATTAGGGATGGGTTATTCCTTAATTGTATCCTAGAGAGTATTTTGTACCTCCTTCTGAAGAATTTAGTATTGGCTACTGTCTGACACAGGATATTGGATCAGTTTAGCAATCAGATCCAGTATAGCAATTCTTATATTGCTAGGTATTTCTTAATATTATTTATGCATTCATCCGACACGTACAATGTTGACAATGCGTTCTTTATATTTTAGGAAATTATACCCTAAACTGCTGAACTATTAGGCACTTATCCATCCATAAGACAGTCTTCAGCGTCAGAGAGAGCAGCAAATGTTGAATGATAACATACATGAAAAAAAGTTTCCCTACCTGTTTCCCTGCCTCCCACTCTTTATGGGTGATTGGGAGAAAATTCTCCTGCTTCAAGGGGTCACTGCTGCTACTGTATACAGTATTGAAGAAAATGACTTCCTCAGAACTAACACACTAACAGATCTTGTTAATATCAAACATCAAGACTGATACGTAACAAAAACCATCAGGAGATTGTATCTTCTCAGAAAAACCATTTACTGGACGAGGAACATTCTGTTTTCGGAAAAGCTCCAGTACTGAATGGACTCTATTCAATATCAATGAGGTGAACTAAGGACATAAAATAATATACCTACTGATTTTCCTCCTTCTTTTAAAACACATTAGATTAATTAATTTTAGTTCTCAGATCACTGGTTTGATGTTCTTTCCTGGAAAGGAACTCTTTCTTTCAGGTATGCTTTACAAATAGTTGAATGAATTAAAGAAAAAAAATCAATGCTGTGGGAACTGTTTTGCCTCTCTGTTCTCTTGTAAAAGAGGCAATGAGGGGATGAGGTGGTCTGGATGTTCTCTCTCTTCCAAGTAAAATTTAAGGACTTAGACTGCATCATTTAATATATAATATGTTTTTTTAAAAACATATTTCAGGTTCATGGAGAAGGAAGTGAAGGATGCCTCCTGATTAGTGTGAAAGTTACTCTTTAGAACAAAGATGAAAACATCTCCAAAGACTAGTTTGTCACACCAGTGAAAAATTATGAAAATTAGAACTGGCACTGGAAAGGGAAATATCCTTGTTAGTTTATCATAAAAAGTAGCACATCACAAGAAGTCTGTTATTCTAGCTATTTGCTACTTGACTTCAAGATCTGAGAGGTGTGCTTGTTACTTAGCCAAACACACCTTGGCACTTCAGCCACAAACCATGCCACAGTGACTGATAGCTGAAAACTGTCATAATAAATCAGTTCCTGAGACAAAAGATTGTTTATGTGGTGGCCATGGCTTCTGCATGGTCCAAAGTGTCAGTTCAACAAACCAGACACTTGGGATACCAACTTGGTGCAATTTTCTTCGCAACTTGGGAATAAGGGTTAACAGAGAAGGTATGGTAATGTTGGAATTTTTACAGAAACAACAGATAACTTGTCTATGCCTTTTAATGTGGTTCCATTTATCCGCTTTAGAATAGTTACACTTTGCAATTGTGGCAAAAAGCCAAATCTCCCATGAGTTCTCTACCCCCACTACAAATTAGATAATATATGTGGAAAAAAGGCTTCTCTATTGCTTATGGTACATGATAGAAAAACTCAGCCAGTCTGTAGAGATATTTGTTTTCCCAGCTATGTGAATGAAGTGCCAAAAGTTTCTTTTCTGCCTATTTCAGGATGGGTAACTCTTCTCTGAGCAGGCTACATACTCTCCCCAAAGGGTTCCACGGTGAGAAGGCTAGCTATTGATCTTCAATTTTATACATTTCACATGAGATGTGCAAGAGATATTTAAACGTGTCTTCAAAACCTACAGATTCTGAAAGTTCACACTGGTGTACAACCGATATTATATACCAAAAGGATTTCATTTAAGTTTCTTGTATTCTAAAACATTTTTTCATTATAGATTTTTCACTCTGAGAAAACAGGTTGTTCTTTCCCTGACATGAATGAAAGGAGGAGATCTTCAGAAAGTTGGAATTTGGATGCATGATGATAGATCTGTAAGACTGATAAGATCTGAAAATACTTTTTTAAGCATTACTGGATTAATTAATTCATTACAGGAATGTGTATTGTCTTCACCATCATTAGCAAAATATCTTGAAAGAGTTCAAAGTAGCACTGGCTAGAAAATCAGTAGGTATAATGGCACTACCTGAATGTCAACATCTTTAGTGAGAAAAGATGCATTTAGATCTGCCTTCAAGCCCTTGTCACCTGTATCAAACATATACCTCCTTTAAAGTGTTCTTCTTCCTGTCTGACCGGTCAGATGAAGCTGTTCACTATAAGTGAATATACAATTTCTTAGAGCCCTCTGAAATATGGGAATTCATGAAGAGTTTCATAACAAAATTCAAAAATTCCACTTATCCTTGAGGAGTGTTTCATAATTTATTAAACACCTTTGTCAGCTAAGATTTATTGTCCAGGCCCTTTTAAAACACAATTGATCCTTTTCGTCCTCTGGTTTGAAACATATGTGGACAATTCTTTCATTTTTGTAATGATTGGGGAAAACTTTTTCCTTTACTATAGAAAGTAGTGCAATATACTGAGACAAGAGCCTTGAACTCTACTCTGCTTGTGTCCTCAATATTAAAAATACCCAGGAAGGTGTCCTCAGCCTACAGTTCCAATAAGAATGTTAAAGAAATTTCCCCTTCTCCTCAAAAACTTTGGGTCAGTTAGGCTTGGATTTCTTTGTATCCTTTAGGGAGAGAAAGGCTTGCTAGGCTTATTATCATGAAAGTGTGGTTCTCAACTCTTGGTGAATAAGAATGCTTCTTGCTCTTATGCTGCTTAGTACTGACTACTTGGAGGAGGTTGAGTGACAGATTGCGGTGTACGTTTTTGGTGTCCATTGAGGACTGGGTGAGATGTACCAACAACTCCAGATACAAGGCTGAGACAGGGAAGCAGGGACACGATAAATGGGCTGAGAAGGGCCAGTTGCAATTGCAGCAATGTCTCAGTGCACCTAGAAAACATTGGTGGTAACAACAAGAGGTAGTCAACATGTAGAGTTATACTTTTTTTCTCTTGTGCGTCCTGTCAGAATTTAATGCGGAGTATGTCTATTTGTAAGAATTTTGGAGATGCCAAACATTTCTAGACTCTGAGCATGGTTGGGTCTTGAGCTGTTCTGACTCCTATGTACTTCAGGCACACAGGGTCCAGCTGCCACATACATAAGGACACTGCAGACAAAAACCATTTGATAAAATACCTTATTTTTTTGGGACTTTTTCCCAGCATCCTCTGATGTACAAGTTCCACCCCTGAGGAAAGTAGTGCACCAGTATTTGCTTCTCACTGAAGCAGAGTAGAAACTAGTTTCCATGCACAGTAGTAGCAGGGACTCCTTTTGATGGAGAGAGGATTATTTACTAGTTTGAATTACTCATGATACTTGCTGCATGATTCATATTTTTGCCTTGCTCATTTATGTGAAATGTCTATTTCTTGTGACTTATCTCCTAGCTAAAAGGAACTTTGTTCACATCTAAGTAAAGGATTCAGATAAATATTTTTTAAAATGTAACCAATGTTTTGAACTAATTTTGTCTTCTAAAATGAAGATTAAATAACGCAACCAAAAATTCAGAAGCAGCAATGCTTACAGAAGTTATTCACATAAGAATTTGTAAGTGAAAAGAAAATTATCTCTGCATATAGAACTCAGTCTTTATCTTACCTGTCATAGTCTCCATTACACAGCGCTCTGACAGAGATTTTGAATGCCTGCCACACTGGATTTAATGTATTTTTTACAACTTCTGTCTTGTGACAGATCGTAAAACTGAAAAAAAATAAATAAATATTTTTTCACTTTTGAGTGATCACATGTGGAGTCATAAATATGCAGAAGTAGTCAATAATCTCTTTATTGCTCTACCTCAGTATTTAAATAATTTAATTCTAAAGCTAGTATGTCCAAATACAATCTAAAACAGAAGTACGATGAAGTCTAGGACTAGGAAGATTTTACCTAACCGGAAAAGGGCAGACTTTAGAATTTATAAACTTGCAGTTATGCCAATTCATGACTGCTGGGTTCATTTTAACTGCGGTATTTGGTTCTATAAACACTGGAACTCAGAGAAGGTGAGCTGGGTCCTTGTTACTCTTTGACTGCTTGCACAGTGAACAACTCTTGAGCTATTTTTCTGGACTTGGATAGACCTACTTCAGAGAGATCACCAGGACCCTTCTAATGCATGGCCTAGCTCCAGAAAATGTATATGCACCTGTTTTTTTTTTTAATGCAGATCATTTTTTCTGAATCATGTGATTCCACACATCCAGAAAAAGTTGCATGTATGTGGCCACTGACACCCACTGGACACTAGGCGGAGAGAATCCTTTTAAAAAGTTCAAACCTTGAAACCACATTCACTGAAGGATAGCAAGTTTTAGTAATCTGTCCATTATCTGAGAACAGCTGCAGGATACGTCAATTGCAACAATCAGAAGGAACTACACAGAAATAGGACACTTAAAATGTTGAACAGACCCAGAAGCTGGTTAAAAAGAACAGTGAGTGCAATTGACTTTAAAACTTGTTTCACAGCTTGCATCGCTTTGCTTTATCTTCCATATGGATAGGAAATGTCCGCACAGATTGACTCGGAAGGAAATCCCAGGTGGACTATTCTGGGTATTGGGATTATAGAATTTTTGGTGGAATGCACAACTACTGTAGCCCCAGGAACCAGAACAGAATTTAGATCTTGGTGTTCTGCAAGTGTTTTCTCAGGCCAGCTAATCATACCAGTAGAGAACCATAATCCTCAATCCTTCTCTTAGAAAAAGATTTCCAAACTACACATGGAAGAATATTTACTCCACTAAAAAAACAAATCAAAATCTGAACAAAAATTGTGGAACATTGTAAACCTCATGTCCAATCAGCCTGCCCTTATCACTTCTCATTTCCCACTGCTTTGTTTGTATGCACAAGATTGTAAATTTACTGAGGCAGACCGTGTAGTCGTTCTTGTCTGAGCAGTGTCCAGCCATTATTGCTGCTATGTAAATAATAATCATTTGTTTCTGGAGACAGGTTGTAGCAACAGATACCCATACATGCCAAGTTTTGTGCAGCTCCATGTGACATTGCTTGACAGTGAGAAATAGTCAGTGATATCCCATTCAGGGTCCGTTTGTGTATCAATTCCCATAATTTCTGTTTAGAGATACCATTAATTTATTTTAAAAATTATCTTTTGGCCCTCATTTTACATTCAAAATAGTGAAAACACTATTGGTCAGGAATGAGATTTTGTACCAGTGGCATCTCAGTGGCATTAATGATTTGTTTTTTGTTTCTTTTAAAATAAAGAGCAATATGATGGCACATCTCTTATATTCATGATTCAATTAACCTCAATGGTGTTGAATAAAAGTTATTTTAAATTTGAAATGTTTTTTCTTCAGAAAAGAGGTACTGCAATGAATTCTAACGTGGCATCTATTTATCAGTTATCTAAAATAAGTTAAAATGTATTCCCTGTAAATGATTCCATTAAATGGGAGATATACTTTGGAAATGGAAGTTAAGTTTTGATACCTGTAAGTACTTTGTAGCTGAACTGAAAAGAATCTATTCTACTTTAGGTTTGGAATTTAATACTAACCAATCACACTGTTAATTGTTTGGATGTATTGGTTACCAGTTTTATAACAAAATAACTACATCTCTCTTTTGGAAAATTAAAAGAAATTATTTATTTTAATCATATATAAGATCTAACCTGAGCATTATTAGCTGTTTTACACCTAATTGTTGAGTTAGGGGAATATGACCTATTCAGATAATGTACAACTAAGATGTGTGAAAGGTTTATGACACATAGCTGTTTATAATTAAACAGCATATAAAAAAGAGAGGTTATAATTTGAAAGGTTAGGACTCTTTAGGCCTAGTGCTTGGGGTGCCTCTCCAGTCCAGTCTTCTATTCAAATCAAATAGGATCTTGCAGATTTCCACCCCAGGCTCAATTAGAAGAGCGCCTCTGAACTGCGGATTCCTCAAAAGTCCCACACAGACCTGCTTGCAGCTATAATGTCCGATAGTCACACCCTGTTCCAATGACTGCGTCCTGGCTTCTGCTGCAGCCTGCTCTGTACACAGTTCCTTGGGGATTTCTCCTTGCATCTGGCTTCCCTGGTGCTCCTAGCTCCTAAGCTGCTGCTATTTGCCCAAGAACCAGATAATTTCCTGGGTAAGGGTCTTTCCTTCTATCTGATAAGGAGAAGGGGATGTGCAAGGGTGAGGGGGCTGATGAGAATGACAGTTTCTTGCTTACCAGGTTCATCAAAATCCTTTCCTAAGCTCCACAAACCCTATCTTTTATTCTTGTTCTTATTGTGAGGGAGCTCTGAGCCAAGCTGGGGAGTATCGATCCAGCCTCTCACAGGAGTTCTGAAGTGCTGCTCCTTGTATCCCATTATAATCAGATTTAACGGGCTACTTGTAGTGTTGCCACCTCTCAGGTACAAAAACCCTGGGCATCTGGGATGATCCTTAGCTCATAAAATTTGGCAGCTCAGTATGTGCACTGAGCACCCTTACAAATTACCTAGGACAGTTACCTCAAAAAAGGGATGATCTTCAGAAAACTGGGACAGGTTGCAACCCTAGGGGCAAGTAAGGAATTAAAGGCTCATTGTGGTCACTATCAGCAGCATACAGAGACAATTATGCCTACCACTGGTGGGGTGTGGTTCTTATGGACAGGGCTCAGCCACACTTACCAGCACTCAGGAGGTTCCCCATTGACTGTCTATTGACTGTCTGAATGCATCAATGGAAGGGAGAGGAGAGAGTGCCCTGCAATTTTTCAATAGAGGCCCAAGTACTTTCCTGCTGCACTTTATAATCTTTAGGAGCTGAGCTGTTCCAGCAAACTGCCTCAGAGAGGCACAGTTCTTGGCGACAGCTACTTACATAGAACAGCTTATGCTCCAGAATTTGTCAGTAAGGCTAGTTCCCCATGGACCCACCATCAGGCATGGCTAGCCTCTGGACTGCTACATTCTTGAATATGACAATGAGGAGTATCCCAGAAAGGAAGACTCCAGAAAACAGGTTAAGCCAATTGCTAATAGACCCACATAAGCAGTCCCTGGGCCAGGAATTAGTAGATCAGATATTTCTGAAGTGGAACACAACAGAGAAATCTATTTTAGTGACTTAAGCATGAACGTAGAAGACAGACACATCTGAAAATCATTTATGTATTGAGAGGTTTTGAAATTTTGTTCATAAGTCTTTTTCCCTCAGTACTCTAATGAAAAGGTTAAAATAGATCTCCAAACTTGCAGCAAAAGGACTCTTCTCTAAATCAATCTTTGTGCATTAATATATTCTTCACAGATGCATCTAGAATTCTATTAACATGTTAAGGTATACCACATGATCTATTTTCCACAGTAATAAATTCCATGCCATTTTTCATAGCACTCTAGGCTTACTCACAAACTCAGCTTTAAAATGCCTTAGTTACGTTATTTTAACTGTGTGCTAAAATAACAGTCTTATTTCTACACTGCCATAACATTATCTAGTTTAGGTAAATGAACTTGTTAAAATAGTAAACTATATTCCAAGCAATTGTTGTTATGAGGTTACAGAATAAATTAGAGCTTGCAGTCTGACAATCATCATCAAAATGCAATAACTGTGTATTATAACTACCAACATCAGATATCCCTATTGTCTTTATGATTTTGTTATCTACCTGCCGTCTTCATTGCTTCGATAAAATACTAGGAAAGGGTCAGATTTCCCAAAGAAGTCCTTCTTGTCTAACTTGTTTGCACAAAACTGCATAAGTACAGAATCCTAAAAAAGAAATAAAGACACAAATTATGCTCAGCTTGTCATCTGCAAAAATAAAGAACAAACAACAAAACAAAGTAGTTCATTTATATGTGAGCATTTAAGATTACTCACCTTCAAGATAATCTCTGCACATTCACATTCTTGGGATATGCCAACAGTGCAGCTTGACCCAGTGAAACCTTCTAGAAGCAGTGCTCACTGAAGTGCTCTCAGACCCCTTTTGTATCCAAGCATTTGGAAGGCAGTACTATAATAGGGAGACATGTCATGGTGCACCAAATGCCTCAGTTCCTTCCATTTCCTTCTTGGGTCCAAAGTTGAAATTATGACTGAGTAAGAGGGGAAGGTGGGTGGGGAGTGTGAATATGAAGAGTTCATCTCAAAGAATTTGGTTACAGACAAGTAACCTTCATTTCTTCTTTGAGTGGCCTCTGCACTTTCCTACTCTTAGGATAGTTGGATAAGCAGTACTCTTGTCTCTGGATAGTACAACATGGAGTCCTAGTTAAATAGAGACTGGAATACTACTTCACCAAACTGCATCTGATCTAGATGCCAGCTCTAAGGAATATTTCTAACGTTATGAAATAGAGCTCCACATGGCAACTCTACAGATTTCTAATATGAGAATATTGTAGCTAACAGCACAGACAGCAACTCCACCAACAGTATGTCAAAGACAGGCCACAGAAGCAGCCCTTGCTCTAGCCAAGTGCACTCTAAGCCCTTCTAGAAGAGGAACAGATGTAAGTTTATAAATCTTTCCATACTTATTCTAATTCACTTAGAAAGGCATTGGCATGTGATTGCCTGACTGCTACTCTTTTCTGAATGAGAGAAAAAAACCCCTAGGTGATTGCTTGTATTCCTTAGACTGAACCAAATGGAGCATTAGCCCTCTAAGTTGTGCTTCCCTGAGTGAAAGTAAAGCTTGGGAAAATATACTGTGAAGTTTATAGACTAGTTAAGATGGAGTTTTGTTACAACCTTGAAGGGAAATTTCAGGTGCAGACAAAGGACTATGATATTTTTGTGAAAGACTGTAAGGGAGACAGGGGAAATCAGCCATAAGAGCCTGCAACTTGTTCACTCATCTAGTGAATTTAATAGCTACCATAAAAGCTGTCTGAATTGTGATATGAAACAGGGAACAATCTCTCATAGTCTTGAAAGGAAGTTCCATGAGCTAAGTACTAGATTGAGGTTCCATGTAGATATGGACTCACTAATCAGAGGGCAGATGTTCATTAATCCCTTCAATAATCTTATTATAGCATGTCTAAATATAGTATTTTACTTGACTACATTTTGATGGTATCTTGAAGCCAAGATGCTTGTGAGATGTACTTTTACTGACAGTTAGGACAGCCCAAAGGATTTCAAATGAAGTAATTACTTCAGTATGGACTGAACAGGAGCTGAAGCTTGGTTCATGTTATTGTGGGTACACACAAAAAGAAACTTTTCCACTTATAACTGGTGAGTTGACTGCTTCCTGGAGTTGAATAGACTCTTCTTTACTTTTTCCAAACAGATAGCTCAAGTTCTATGACCATGCCTTCAAGTGGAGAGAGTCTGAATACGGATACAATACAATTTCTCTGTTAGGTCAAAAGAAAATGAGTACTTGTGGCACCTTAGAGACTAACAAATTTATTTGAGCATAAGCTTTCGTGAGCTACAGCTCACTTCATCGGATGCATTCAGTGGCTGAATGCCACTAATGTCTCTAAGGTGCCACAAGTACTCCTTTTCTTTTTGCAAATACAGACTAACACGGCTGCTACTCTGAAACCTGTTAGGTCAATAAGTCTGGAATTGCAGGAGACAGATAAAACCCTTGTGATGGTCACAGTACCTGAGAATGACTAATGTCTTGCTCAGGCCAGGGCAATCACAATAACCTTGGCTTTGTCTTATTTATTTTCCAGTGAACACTGAATTAGAAGAATTGGGGGAAAATGCAGAGAGGAGACCTACCTCACAGCCTAGAGGAAATAGAATATCAGGGTTGGAAGGGACCTCAGGAGGTCATCTAGTCCACTGCCCTGCTCAAAGCAGAACCAATCCCCAACTAAAATCATCCCAGCCAGGGCTTTGTCAAGCCCGACTTTAAAAACCTCTAAGGAAGGAGATTCCACCATCTCCCTAGGTAACGCATTCCAGTGCTTCACCACCCTCCTAGTGAAAATGTTTTTCCTAATATCCAGCCTAAACCTCCCCTACTGCAACTTGAGACCATCACTCCTTGTTCCATCATCTGCTACCACTGAGAACAGTCTAGAGCCATCCCCTTTGGAACCCCCTTTCAGGTAGTTGAAAGCAGCTATCAAATCCCCCCTCATTCTTCTCTTCTGCCAACTAAATAATCCTAATTTCCTCAGCCTCTCCTCATAAGTCATGTGCTCCAGCCCCCTAATCATTTTTGTTGCCTTCTGCTGGACTCTTTCCAATTTTTCCACATCCTTCTTGTAGTGTGGGGCCCAAAACTAGTCATAGTACTCCAGATGAGGCCTCACCAATGCTGAATAGAGGGGATTGATCACATCCCTCGATCTGCTGGCAATGCTCCTACTTATACAGCCCAAAATGCGGTTAGCCTTCTTGGCACCATGGGCACACTGTTGACTCATATCCAGCTTCTCATCCACTACTAACCCCTTTTCTGCAGAACTGCTTCCTAGCCACTCGGTCCCTAGTCTGTAGCAGTGCATGGGATTCTTCCGTCCTATCTTGTTGCAACAAGATACATCTCCAGATACCTCCACAGGGAGAAGATATAGTTTGTTACCAAGTTCTGGAGTAACTACTTGTGCTGATCCTGCAAGTTTCTGCTCAGCTGATAGGCCAGTATCTTATCCTTGTTTGCAAGGAGGATAAATTTGGTGTACTGCGCACCGCTCCCACAGAGTGGAAGTGTCTTTGCACAGCTTGCTTGTTCATACAAAATATTGATGTAGTAGTCCTGGCAACTACTTGAGCCACTCTGTCATGTGGTTGAAGGAGAAAGGACTCGAGAGCCCAAAGTATTCCTTTTAATACTGATACGGAGTTTTTCCTCTCTGAACTTCCAGTGACTGAACTGTCAAATTCTTGCAACAGGCTCCCAGCCCAGATTGGAAGCGTCTGAGTCTACTGTGTCTGACAGAATTGCAGGGTTGAATGTGGGAATAGGAACACACCTCTGGGTAATGTCTGTTTTGGTATATAGTGTCCTTTTAGCCAGTGTTGTAGAGGCCTCATCTTTAAATGTGTACATAGTGTTATGTACATTACAGAAGCCATAATGCCACCAAGCTTGAGTAAGAACAGCACTGTTTGATATTCGTTCTCCTATAGTACTTTTATCGCTGTTTTGCTGTAAGGATTTTAAAGTGCCTTTCTTCTGGAAGAAAACCTCTGCCTTTTTGAGAATACAAAATTTAACCAACAAAAGGTATGATGTGGGCTGGAGCTCTGTGCAATTTCTTCCCATTTATCTTGAACCCCAGTGTTTGGAATAGGGTACATGATTGTGACATCCTGTGAGGATGCCCAGATGAGCCAATCATGCAAGTAAGGGACCCTAACTTCTCAAATGTGCTGATACTACTGACAAGCACTTGAGGTGCTGCAGATAAGCCAAATGGAATGACAACAAGCCATAAGTATTTTTGATGTGAATATCTGATTGAGATGTGACAAACATCCTGTACAGCAAGAGCCCCAAACCAGTCTTGAATTGATCAGGAGGAGATGATCATGACTTGGATAAGCAAGCAGAGGTTGAACTTTCTGTTGAAAGAGTTGAGATTTTGAAGGTCTAAAATGATTCACAAAAAGAAAAGGAGTACTTGTGGCACCTTAGAGACTAAAATTTGAGCATAAGCTTTCGTGAACTACAGCTCACTTCATCGGATGCATGTAGTGAAAAATATAGTAGGGAGATTTTATATACAAAGAGAACATTAAACAATGGGTGTTACCATACATACTGTAACGAGAGTGATCAGGTAAGGTGAGCTATTACCAGCAGCAGAGAAAAAAACCTTTTGTAGTGATAATCAAGGTGGGCAGTTGACAAGAATGTGTGAGGAACGGGGGGTGGGGGGGAAATAAACATGGGGAAATAGTTTTATTTTGTGTAATGACACATCCACTCCCAGTCTTTATTCAAGCCTAATTTAATGGTGTCCAGTTTGCAAATTAATTCCAATTCAGCAGTCTCTCGTTGGAGTCTGGTTTTGAAGTTTTTTTGTTGTAATATTGATTACAGACCTAAAAGTCTCAAGTGACCAGAGAGATTAAAATGTTCTCCGACTGGTTTTTGAATGTTATAATTCTTGACGTCTGATTTGCGTCCATTTATTCTTTTATGTAGAGACTGTCCGGTTTGGCCAATGTACATGGAAAAGACGCCCTTGAGGAATTCCACCATGATTACAACAATTGATTTCATCCCATCATCAACCTCAGCCTGGACCAGTCCACACAAGAGATCCACTTCCTGGACACTACAGTGCTAATAAGTGATGGTCACAAACACCACCCTATACCGGAAACCTATTGACCGCTATACTTACCTACATGCCTCCAGCTTTCATCCAGACCACACCACACGATCCATTGTCTACAGCCAAGCTCTACAATAAAACCGCATTTGCTCCAACCCCTCAGACAGAGACAAAAACCTGCAAGATCTCTATCAAACTTTCTTACAACTACAATACCCACCTGCTGAAGTGAAGAAACAGATTGACAGAGCCAGAAGAGTACCCAGAAGTTACCTACTACAGGACAGGCCCAACAAAGAAAGTAACAGAATGCCACTACGAGCTGTCACCTTCAGCCCCCAACAAAAACCTCTCCAGTGCATCATCAAGGACCTACAACCCATCCTGAAGGACGACCCATCACTCTCACAGATCTTGGGAGACAGGCCAGTCCTTGCTTACAGACAGCCTCCCAACCTGAAGCAAATACTCAGCAGCAACCACACACCACACAACAAAAATACTAAC